CCTCTGCTACTCAGAGAGGCTATGAAGATGCTGAAGCATAAAGTGGGCTCATTTCTTGCAATGTGCTGTCGGGCTTTGAGCTCAGATTTGGTCCAGGGCTTTGAAATGTCATCTGGACGTTTGGGTGTAACCAGGTTTGCTGCCTGTAGAGCAGAGCTATCAAGTGTTTGTCCCTTTTGTGACACTTGTGGTGGGACTTGGGAGCTTTGGAGTCTCCCTAAGCCAAGGCCTCTTATGAACTAGGGTGTGACTGGCTGTTAGGCCTCTCTTTTCCCTAGACCTGGCCATCCTATAGTGCTTGGCAGCAGGTTATCCCCACCCTGAACCCTTGCTGCTTCTATGACCCTCTCCAGACAGCCTGGCCACAGCCTGGAGCTGGTGGCATTGTGCACACTGGAAGGAGCTGTTACAGGCAGAAGTCTCCACGTTCCTCTTCCTGCTCTTCCCAGTCCTTCCCAGTGTGCACACGATGCTTTTGAAGTGTGTAAGTGCTGTGGCACTGCTGCATGCATGCTCTCCAACTTGCAAGAGACCTCTCATTTCTGCTGTTTGATGTCCTTTTGTTCCATCTCTCCCACTCATCCCATTGCCATGGACTTCCCTGCCTGGTGCCCTACATCTCAGCTGGAATGGCTGCATGCTGTGGGCCGATCCCTGCAGCTAAGTCACTCATGAGCCTGTCTTGTCTTACCTGTGTGTCCCTTTACCTCTATAGCACATCCTGCCCCAGAAATACTCACTCCCAGGTGGTTCTGCAACTGTTTCCTTGGGCAGTTCTGTGCATAGATTGTATCAGCTCCTTTGGTAAGAGCCAGTTGATCCTTCTAGCTGGACTAACTGCTATTTTGAGCATCTCATTCCTCAGAAGGGGACACCTATTCCACCCATCCTGGACACTGGTGCTTTTCCCCAGAGGCTCTCTGGGAGGTGAGGGCAGTTGTACAGCATCAGCTGACAAACAGGCCAGCGAGTGACCCTGAGTCTGCTCCAGGTGAAGGCTGCCTGCATGTTGGACACCATGAAAGGTCCCTTGTCCTCCCACTTCTTGCCCCACGTTGGAGATGACAGGCAGAGCAGCAGGGCTACTGCTGTGCTCACTCAAAATGCTCCTGGGTGGGCTGGAGGTGCAGCCAGGCACCATCACTTGTGGTGGCCTAGCCAAGCAGCACCTCAGTACTGCCCCAGGTAGGGAATAGAGATGCCAAGGACTTCTGGGGTAACATCCTTGCTCTTCCACCTTCATACATGCAGATACCTCTGTGTACTGGAAGGGAATGGCGTGGTTGCAGTGGGCTTGTTCTGCGAGCAGTGTCGGGATGGGGTGCTCCACTTTATCCCAACACATCCTGGGACTCGAGTGCCTCTTTACCATGCAGCCAAGACCTGGTGGCCACAGGGAAGCACCCGAATGCAAAGGCACCAAAGCTAGGACAAATCCATGATCCAAAGGGTGCAGAACAGCAGGGGCTGGGATTGTGTATTTTGGGGAGTGATGTCATGAAAAAGTTCTGTATCCTTGGGGATGGGACAGATGTTGGCCAGACCAACTGAAAACAGCAAGCTGAGCAAACCCAGCCCTGGCTAAATGTGGTGGAGGAGAGCAGGAAATCAGAGCCTCTGCAGGAAAATAAGATGACTTGGGCAGCTGACAGAGGTGGGATCCAATTGCCTCAGCCCAAATTGAAGGAACAGCTGAAAACAACCAACCGACCAACCAGCCTTGGGAATGGAAGACAACCTGCTGTATCCGGGAACAGCACAGCTCCATCAGAGCAGTGGTCCACCCAGCTTTGGCCGAACTTGAACATTCACTGAGCAGTGTAAGAAGGCAGCAAGCAGGTACACACATTCCTAAAGCATAGGGAGCTCCACACCAGGTGTTTCCAGCAGTCCCTGATGGTTTTCCTTGCCAGAAAGTTGTCCAAGTACCTCTTACATCTGTGCACGCTCTGAGCACCCCAGCAGTGAGAGCACAGAGCCACAGTGCAGCTTGAAGAAGCAGTTCTTGGTTTGCTCTGCTTCCACCTACTGCCCTAGGCACTTACCCACCTGTGTTAGGCACCTGTGAGGGTGCTAAAGGGCCTTAATTGTCCTAAACAGCCTCACCTGGGACCTCCCACCCTCTTGAGCTGTATTTAAGGTCAGGCAGAGGGTTTCAGTTTGGTTTTGAGCAATCTTGTGGGTGTTTCTGTTTTGGCTTTGTCTTTAGCCCTCCCTTCTAGGCATATATATTGCTGTCTTCCTCTTCAGTCCTGCTTGTTTGGCTCTGTCTCCTGACCAGGTGGATCCTGGACTTTGTTTGTTGCCTGCTCTGTGGATGGACCCTGTTACCAAGACCTGTCTCTCCTCTGCTCAGGTATTGTGGAACTATAGTTGCTATTATGGAACTTTCTGTTAGTGAGAGCATGGGGTGACTAGCAGGAGCCTAAGGGGACCAGCCCCACTCCCAACCTCATGTGTGCAGGGCAGAAACACCCCTCTACTGACTTCAAAAAAGGGCATGTTAAGAAAGGCCCTAAGACATGCAGTACTTCCAGTCTGGTTGTTACTGCTCATGGGTGAGATCTGGCTGGTAAGAAAAACAGCATCTACCTGCACTCAGCAGCAGCTAAAGTATCAATGGTAAGAAGATGGGTAATGGGATGGAAACCACCACAACCCCAGAGCTGAGTGCAGGGGGTGTTTAATAGCTCCCCGTTTAAAATATGGATAAAGAGCTGGAAAAGGATAAGAAAGGGCTTGTAATGGCCTGGAGGAGGATTGCAAATGAGATATGGAAGGTGGGTTGGCTCTGATGCTGGGGGCAGCAGAGCCCATGCAACAGTGGAGCTGGCACAAGGCAGCTTGACTGGGGAGATGTATGGGGTTAACTGGGTAAGAGGCTTTTATGGCACAGTGCTGAGTGCTGTACCCACAGCTGTGTGAGAAGAGGGTTGTAAATGTGAATTTTATGACTGGTGGGGGTGTAAATGAGAACAGCCCTGAAGATGAAGTGGGAGGTTCAAGTGGCCAGAAACCTGTTTTAAGCTGCTTTCAACTGCCACTAGGTGCTGGTTTAGTTAGGGAGGTCTGCTATTGCTGGTAACTTGCCCTGGGGTGATGGTGGCCTGAGGACAGGGCTTGGCTCTGTAGCATGCATCCGACTGCTTTGGTGAGAGAGAGATCAGCATCCCAGGAAGGTCAGGTATTTCTGGTGCCAGTTAGAGCACAAGTGGGAAAAGTGCCTTGGAAAGCATCCTCAGGATGGCACTAGGGAGGGAGAGGATGGCAACATAAAGGATGAGCCAGCTCTCTCCTCTTGCCTGTGCAGACTCGCACAGGAGGGGAAGGAGGGACCAGGTAGTAGCCCTATGAGTAAAAAGCCCCATGATGCTGGTATCTGCGGTGGTTGCACACACGCTGAGCAGGCAGACTGGTCTGGCTCTGGCTGTCGGATCAACATGCCAGTTGTTCTCAGTCTAGCTTGTGCCTTTGGTCATGCTGAGGGTCTTGCCGCCCCTTCCTCAGCCTGGCACGGTGCTGCCAGACCCTTGTCTTACCTGTGCCAGGTGTAGTTTGTGCTCAGCACGAAGGGAGGGTGGCAGGGCATGTGATGGGAGGCACGTGCGTCCCAGCAGCCCTGCTGGGAGCTATAAATGGCATGTGTGCTCACTGGAGGAGCATGGCTGGCAGCGGGGACGGGGAGGTGGCGGCAAGGGGGGTGTTTCGTTTTGCAGTCACTCCTTTGGTCTGTAGATTGGCCCTAGAGAGTGGGAGACAGCTGTGAAGGCTGTGGCAAACGTGTGTGTCCCCTGAGTGGTGAGGCGGATATGGACAGGGCTCGTGCAAGTTGCAGGACCCTCCATAGGGATGTAAAATGGGCTGGTGCTGGCAGAGGTGAGGGCTTACCCTGGGTTGCTGTTCTTGTTTGTAGGATGGGGTGTGGGAGAGCCCTTTTCTTAGCTAAGGATGTGTCTGTTGCTTACAGCTTCGGGCTCGGTGGTCCCTCATGCACCCATGCTCCCGGTTTTTCTGCCTGCCTGGGCTGTCCCTCTCCTGGGGAGGTCCTGGCTCACACCTGAGCAGAGGACATGGTCTGTGCCGCCTGTCAGGAACCCGCTTAGTTGTAGAGTGGGGTGGACATGGGCCCCTGTCTGCATGCTGGGTTCAGCCCAGCCATCTCCCCAGAGACCAGTGTACAGCCAGTCTGTCGTATCCACAGGTCGCAACTCTCTCCTCCTAGCTGTGACCCTTTTCCTTCTGAGCAGTGGTCAGCTTTTGCTTGGGCAATGTGTATTTTGGTTCTATCTGCCCAGCCCTGTGCTCTCCACACCCCATAGCCACCATGTAGCCTCCAGACCGGCTCAGCGCAGTCCCTCCTTCAGACCCTGCAGTCACACGCCACGAGTGAGCAGCTCAGTTGTCCCCTGCAGGCTACGGGAACAGTGGAGCTTGCCTGAAGCAGCGCCTGGTGGCATTGCCAAGAGGCGGGCAGGGTGCTGAGGTGTGGGGTACTGCTCGACCGCATGTGGAGGGGAGCAAGGCAGAGAGCCTCAGCCACGTGGTGTGTTCCCTGTGCGGCCAGGGATGCCTGGAGCCGGCAGTGGGAATGGGGAAGCGAGGTCTGGCAGCTCGGGTGCCCCAGCCCGGTCCGCTCCGCGGGTGCGAGGCGCCCGATGCCCGCTGCCGGCCACCCCGTCCGTGCCGCTGTCTCTTTAAGAGCCTTCTTGCGTGTTTCAATCTGGGGGTGACGCGAGCGCAGCCGGAACGTATGCAAATCAAACGCCAGCCGCTGGCCAATGGGGGCCGGCGCTTGGCAGCTGCCAGCCAATACGGTGGTGCCTCCCGGCGGGGCGACGGCTCGCCCCATATAAGGAGCTCCTTTGCCAAAAAAGGCAATATTGTATCGCTTTATATGGGGGCGGCGCGGCGCGGCGGGGGCGGCGGCGGAGCGGGGCCGTGAGCGCGGAGCGGGCGGCGGGGCCATGGCGGGGCCGGCCTGACCCGGCCCGACCCGACCCGCGCTCGCCGCCGCGATGTTGCCGAGCCAGGCCGGAGCCGGGAACGGCGCCGCCGCCGCGCTGGCCCGCGGCTCGGGACTGGGCCGGGCGCCGGTGCCGCGTGGGGCGAACGGCGGCGGGGCGGCGGCGGGGCCGCCCGGGGGCCGCCTGGAGCGGGAGGCGCTGTACAGCGGCAGCGAGGGCGACTCGGAGTCGGCCGAGGAGGAGGAGCTGGGCGGCGAGCGGCGCGGCGTGAAGCGGGGCCTGGCCGAGGCGGCGGCGGCGGCGGGGCCCGCGGCGGGAGCGGCGGCGGCCGCCTACAGCGGCGGCGGCGGGGGCGGCGGGGCCGTGAGCGGCGCCAAGCCCGGGAAGAAGACGCGGGGCCGGGTGAAGATCAAGATGGAGTTCATCGACAACAAGCTGCGGCGCTACACCACCTTCAGCAAGAGGAAGACCGGCATCATGAAGAAGGTGCGGCCCCGGGGCTCGGACGGGCGGGGGGCGGCCGGCACCCACCTGTCGGTTGCCGGCGCCCCGGCGGAAGCGTTGGCCCTGTGGGCGGTGCGCGCACGGGTCGAGCGGGGAGCCGGCCGGCGGGGCCGTGCCCGGAAACGGCGGCGGCTTCCCGGCCCCACGGAGGGGGGGCGGCCCGGCACAGGCTCCTTCCGGGGGGCTGCGCGGGACCCGCGGCGGGGCCGGTTGTCTCCTGCGGCCGGTTCCCGGCTGTCCGCGGGGCTCCGGACAGGGACCCGGGCAGCCGGCAGCTGTAAGGGTGCCTGGGGAATGCCCGGTTCGGTGCAGCCTCCGTCCCTCGGGGCCGCCTCTCTGTGAACCGTAGCTGGGTGCTGCAGCGGTCCTGTGGCCCAGCAGGGCTGCTGGCCCCTTCGGCTGTGGACGGGCCCAGAGCCGTGTCTCCGTTGGTCCGGAGCGCTCTCTGTGGTTCCTGGGGGCTAGAGCTGTTGGGCAAAGACACTAGAAACTTGCGGGGTTTTGTTGCCTGTTGGGTGCTGCTGGCTCCCATGGGTGCTCGCTGCATCTTCTGAATGACTGGGCAGTGCTGCATCCCAGCTGAGTTGGGCTTCATATACCCTGGGAAGGTGGGAATGGTTACGGGGTACCACTGGGTGCATCCTGGTAGTGCAGGACCCAGAATGAGGCCATCCTGGCTGTGGTAGCTTGTGTGAGACCACGGAGTGTGCCGATGGCATATGCTCAGTATTCTTTTGAGCCTACCAGTCAATGCCAGGGCATCAGTGCCAGGGTGTTTGGGTGCAGCTGTGCTTATGACTGTGAAGATGAAAAGGGGACTCTGGGTCCTGGCCTGGCTGGGGTGTTGGTGATGGACAGAGGTAGCAGACACATGGGCTGAACAGCATCCTCTCACATGGCTCAGCGGGAGGGCATCCAGACTTGTCTGGAGAAGTTGGTGGGATTTCCAGAATGGAAACAGCCTAGTGTGCCTGTGACCTCAAGCTGCTGTCTTGAAGGGACCACTTTTCCCGTGGGCTTTTGGCATTCACATCACCTAAGGGCATGCCGAAGGAGATGGGAACACAGTATGGGGCAGTTCAACCTGTTAGGAACCAACCTGAGTTGGTTTTAGAGGCCACAGCTCCTCTGGAGTGACAGGGAGCTGGAGCTGATATGGGTGAAGGGAGGGCCGTGCTGGGAGCACAGGGATGTGCCAGGGACTCTTGTCCTGTGCTGTACGTGTCCGTGACTCCCTGTTCTTCCCTTGTGCTGCTGGCAGGCCTATGAGCTCTCCACGCTGACTGGCACCCAAGTCCTGCTGCTGGTGGCCAGCGAGACGGGCCATGTGTACACATTCGCCACGCGGAAGCTGCAGCCCATGATCACCAGTGAGACGGGGAAGGCGTTGATCCAAACGTGCCTCAACTCCCCAGACTCACCCCCGCGCTCGGACCCGACCACTGACCAGCGCATGAGTGCCACGGGCTTCGAGGAGACGGACCTCACTTACCAGGTGTCCGAATCGGACAGCAGTGGGGAGACCAAGGTAATGCTCAGCCACACACCTGGGCACCCTGGGGGGCATGGGCTGTGCCAGGAGCAGTGCCAGTCTCCTTGAATAGCAGCTTGGGAAGCTGAGGATGGGTCCCGTTTTGTTGCGACTCCAGTGGGTTCGTGCCCACTGAGAGTCCTCTCTGGGCTGACTCCTCTTGTGTGCTGATAGCGGTGATTTGCAGAGGGAGGGATGTGAGTGGCAGGTGTCCTGGCCCCTGTCTCTGCAGCGGGGCTCCCCACCGGCCCAGCCCACCCCCTGGCCAGCTCTCAGCACCGTTATCTCTCCCCGGGCGTCTCCATGCTCTTGCACTCATTGATAAAAATTTGATTCTGCCTCCATGGCCTTATAAGGCCTGGTTTCCCTCGCCAGAGTCCCTGGCAGGGCCCCTCACATTCCTTATAAGCTGCAGCTGTCTCTTGCTTTGGTGCTGTTTTGGAAGGGGGCAGGGAGGACATGGGGAATGGAAACATTTGGCTGGATGGACTGTTTCTGCTCCCTGCCTCGTGTCCCTGCAGGCACTAGCCATTGCCTGTCTTGCCTGTGGCCTCTCATTGAGGGTGCTGCGGAGGACTGCCTATAGGTGCACAGTTGGACAATGAACCTTTCCTGCTGGGAGGACTCTGTGTAGTCACTGCATCCCTGGTGCTGGTCCTAAGGATTGTCGCAGAAGAACTGGCTCCCTTATAGAATCCCAGACTGGTTTGGGTTGGAAGGGACCTTAAAGCTCATCCAGTTCCAACCCCCTGCCACAGGCAGGGACATCTTCCACTGGACCAGGTTGCTCCAGGCCCCGTTCAACCTGGCCTTGAACACTGCCAAGGATGTAGTAGTCACAGATTCTGTGGACAACCAGTGCCAGTGCCTCATTGCTCTCATAGTAAAGAATTTATTCCTGATGTCTCATCTGTTCAATAACTTCAATTTACATCATTTATACAAATGACATTTTTCCACGTCCCTGCTGCTGCTTTGCAGGCTGGTGCTGGGATCCACAGGAGCATGGAGATGGGGAGGCCGGGGAGTTTGTGGAACAAGGCTGGGGTGACATGCTGAACTGGGGATTGTGCCACAGCTTCCTGTGTCTGTGAGGGGTGCCACTGAGCACTGTGAGTTGCTGCAGCTCTGCTGTAGCTGTGCTCATGGTGTGAGACCTGGGTTTGCTGCAAAAGCATCCTTCCAGATGATCCATGGCCTTGCTCTAGGAGGCCTTTAACCAACTGTACACAAACTACAGCAGCATCCTAATCTGGCTACTGTACGCAAACCACAGTAGCCACTAAGCATTAAGCAGACAGAACCTGGAGGATGGTGTTTGAAGTTTGTGCGCTGTAATCCCAAAGGCAGCAAGTGCAGCAACATGCCTAGTGTGTTGTTTGGGGCTGCAGGGGTATTCAGCTGTGTTTGCAACCTGTGGCAGTGCAGCAGCTCTGATCACAATGCCGCTGGTACCTGGCAGCCACAACTTCTCCATACCCTCTTCCCCATGTGCATGTAGTGCTGCACCAAGCAAAAAACTTAATCACTGCTGAGCCCTGAGAAATACCAGCAGTCCCAGAGATCCCTGCAGGCAGAGCAGCTGCGGTGGGCCAGGGTGTTGCTGGCTGGAGAGCTCTGTGCTGGAGCCCAGGAGAGTCCCCAGGCAGGCTTCCCATTAGTGGGACCCAAGCAACAGTTCTGGCTGTCCCAGTCCTGGGTGCTCTGATTCCTAGTGTGAGCTGTGCCAGCCCTTTCCAGTAGGCAGAGGAGTCCATTGTCACCGGTAGTTTCTCCCTTCTGCAGCCTATGTTTGTAAGGGCTTGTCTCTTGTGCTTCTCCTGAATGAAAAGCACATCCTCTGGGCATTTTGTAATGAGACAAATTGCCTGTGCCTGGATTAATTGGAGGTGCAGGAAGTGCCGTGCATGGCAGATGACCTGTTCCTGGCATGGGGCTTGTCCACATTGTGTCCTTTAAGATTGTCCCTGAAAATACTGCTAGGTGGCCCCGAAGGAAGTGTGATCTTGGGGTGCAGTAACTGCAGAAGACATCTTAACGCAACTTCTCTGCCCACTTTCTGATGCAACTCTGCAAGCTCTATCCCCGTATTTAAGAGTGGTAACGCTTAGAGTGGGGTGCCGTCTGGCCATGGCCAGCTTTTAGTGTGGGGCTGGAGGAGCCCTGTGGCCCTGTTGCCTGCTTGACATCCTGGCTAAATCCATCCCTGACCTGCTGAGGGTTCTTGTCATGGCAAACCCTGAGGCTGGGACAGTCCCATCTTTACCTTCTCCAGTCCTGCTGTGCCTTGTGCATGGCTGGAGGCCTGGGTTTGTGCTGTGATAGAGATCAGGTCAATTCAAATAGACTGAGAAGTTCCCTGAGGATGAATAGAGCCTGTGAGTGGGCCGTGCTAGGTGGCTGGCATCCTTGCTGAGGGATGGGTGAGTGGTACACAAGGCTGAGTTGCAGGTATGTTAGTGGAGGAGGTGGCAGGAGATCAAGTGCCTGGACTGCGAGGTCCAGCCACATAGGATGCTCTGAGAGGACTGGGCAGTTGCTCCCTGGCCTTCCTGTGAACTTCCTGGATCTCTGTTGGGACAAAACCTGCTTGTGTTCAGCTGCTGCAGCAGAGGTTGGGAGCAATGCAGCCAGGCTGTTACCTGCAGTCAGCAGCCCACTGATCTTCATCTGAGCTACAACCAGCAGCAGCTATGAGATCCTCCTGCTATGCCAAATCCAAGCTCCCTGCCATGGAGCTGAGCTTGGACTACTGCTGGGAGTGGGGCATGCTGTACTTTTGAAACAGCGTCTGTATCTTCACAACGATACTGCTGTGCACTGATCTGCCTGATCTCTTGTGCTTCTCAAAAGGCCCTCATGTAATCTCTCGGGTGTAGTTATGTGGGAGAGGGGATTTTGGAAGGAGCTCAAAGGCTCTAGATCGGGGGTAGGAGGATGTGAGTAGCCCTGATGCGGCCATCTCTCTTTGAGGTGGGGTTAGGAAGGGTTTTTCTGCCTCATCTGGAATGTAGATCAGGTGTTGGAGGCCAGATTGGGATTTCCCATGTACTTCCCAGGCCAGTTGCCTTCCAAACATCTGCATAATAATGCTGGCTTCAGGGTCTGGGCCATGCTGAACAGCAATGTCTCAGGCAGTCCCCTGAAGCTGTGGGGAGGGATTGTTTCTGTCCCCAGGATCTTTCTAAGGTCCAGGTGGGCATCAGTTGGCCTGGGCCATGCCCTGTGGTCCACTTGTGCTGTATAGCATTTATCAGGCGTGCACAGTGGTGTGGGTCTGTGCAGGCATCTCCTGATGCTATGCTGCACCTTTGCTGCACGTTCATTTCCCCAGGTACTGCTCTGCAAGCTGAAGTTTTGAGTGAGCTGTGGTGGGGATTGGATGTGCAGCTGGATTGGGAAGGAAAAGGCCTTCAGGGCTGCTCTGGTGCGTCAGGGTTTGTCCATGGCCCTTTGGGTAATCTCTGCTGAAGGTGACCTATGACTTGGCTCCTACTGAAGGCTGGCCTTGTGCATTTACTCTAGGCTTTACAGGTGCTGAGGGGAGCCAAGGTACCCAGGGGCTCTGAGGCATCACTGAGAGTCATGGGGATAAAGCAGCAGATGTCCAATCCCAAGGTCTCGCTCAACTCTCTTTCTGTACTAGGAGCTATTGCTGCAGGCTAAGAGAAGCACAACAAAGATGGGAGGAATCTGAGTCTCGCCTGTGGCAGAGATGGGTTGTGCATGGTTCGAGCCTGCTAGCACAGCATCCTTCCCAAGCATCTTTGCTGCTCTGATCATGCGGAGGTTTGCCCTTGTACTTTCAGGGAGTCCTGGGAACCCCCTGAGCAAGGTGCTGTGAATCTTTTGGGATGCCTCCTGCAGCCCTGAGAGTGTGGAGTGTTGGGGGATGTTGAGAGCTCTGGCTGCCTGGTGGCTGTATTTCAGGGGTGTACCGCTTCAGGGCTGTGTCTTCGGGATGAGAGAGCCTGGCTTTTCCAGCTGGGAGCAAGACCCACCCTGCTCTGCTATGGCTTCCATGGCTTAGTGGGCTGGGGGGAACTCTGCCCTGTCACCCACGTGGGGAGAGCACCCATAGCCTCTATGTCCCATGTGGGATGGCAGGGGTTTGTGGTTGAGCTAATGGAAAGTGCCCGTGCTGGGCTCTACTCTGTTATCACGTGCCTCTTCTAATTTGGACTTCAGGGACCGTGGTGCCAAGGCTGAGGGGTGTTACTCTCCTCCCTCCCCGGGCCCTGGGGCACGGCTGAGTGCCCAGGATTGGCTCCTCCTGTCCAAAATGGGCTGCCTTCCCTTTTTTAGCTGTTGGTTGAGCTGTGAATTCCTCGTTCCTGGCAGCTTGACAAGCTGGGAACAAGGCTTAGCACGTGGGAGAGCTGGGCCCACCAGCCTGCAGCGGGAGGGGTGGGAGTGTGGCAGCCTTAACTCTTCCCGGGTGTGCTGGCAGCCGTGGCAGGGCATGGGGACAGCAGGTCCCTTCGGCCTGTGGTGTGGTCCCCTGCGGAGCGGTGTATGTGCAGTCTGCTCTCGGCCAGATGAACAGGACAGGAGAGGAGCTATGGAGACCTCCATAGGTATCTAAAAGGGGATTTGGGGGAAGGAGGTGTGTTAGGTGAAGTGTGACTGCCAGGGGCAGCAGGGATCATGCTGGGCTTGGCTCCTGCAGATCCAAGCCACTTACTTTGTAGCTGAGGAAGCTGAGGTGTTAACATGCCCTGCAGCCTGGCATACACTTTCCTCCTGAGTTCTCAGACCCAGGAGGCTGGCCTCAGGCTAATGTTGGCCCGGTACAGGGCCTTTTCCCTCCTGCTGCTCAGCTTCCCTGCCACTGATGTCCTCAGGCATAGAGCTCTGCTCCTTACAGGACCATGGTGTGTGCTGGCAGTAGCTAACATGCCAAGTCGTTTGGAAGCATTTGCCTTCTGCCTATCTCCTGCTAGTGGGATGGCAAATGGGTGCTTCCCTTGGCCAGGTTCTTCCCTTTGCTCCAGGAGATTTGTGGAGGCATTCCCAAGGGCCTGCCAAAGCAGCTGTCAGGGCTGGGTTTGGGCATCCCTGGTGTCCAGGGTTTGGCTTACTCACCTCTCACTTGCTGCTTTTGGTGTACAGCTACCTTTAAGAGCCAGTTCTCAGCTTGCTCTTGGCCATGTGTTTCCTGCCATAAGGGAAGTGGTGTGTGTTCCTGACAGGAGACCGTGTGTTTGCCTTTGTGTCTGTCCCTGCAAGCACTGCTTTTGCCTCTTGTGTGCCAGAAAGAGGTTTTCTCCTCTTAGAGGCTTTGGGGAGTCCTGGGGAGGGGCAGGGTTGCTTTGTCCCCTGGTGTCTCACAGGGAAGTCTCTCAGGGGACCTGTGTGGCCCTGGGCTTGTATCCAAGGTATACGCTGAGCTTTCTTCAGCTTTCCTCATGCTGCGTTATTGGGCACAGCCTTCTCGTGTTTGTACAAGCAACTTCTCTCTGCTGCACTGTCTGTGCTCCATGTGCTGGCAGCAAGCTACGGGGGTATGGTTTAGCACCAGCATGCAACCAATGGAGCCTGGTTTGATCTTACGGGCAGATAAGGGTTGACCACAATCTCTCCTTCCCCAGGACGCACTGAAACCAGCGTTCACTGTCACCAACCTGCCGGGGACAACGTCCACCATCCAGACAGCCCCCACCACCTCAACCTCTATGCAGGTCAGCAGTGGCCCATCGTTCCCCATCACTAATTACCTGGCGCCAGTGTCTGCCAGCATCAGCCCCAATGCAGTCACCAGTGCCAACGGGACAGTGCTGAAGACTACTGGAGCCAGTGCAGTGACATCTGGGGGCCTCATGCCGATACCCACCAGCTTCACCCTCATGTCAGGTCAGTGCTTTTAGGGACTAAGGACTGCAACGTTCAACAAAAGTGCATTGCTGCCCTCTCCAGAGGAGGGAAGACTAGTGTCAGGAGGAAGCAGAGTGGTTGCTGCTGTAGGGTGAACCTGGCTGGGATTCCTTGCTCGATCCCAGCCAGGCCAGTGGCTGGAGAAGTGTCATGTAGTGGCTGTTTCTTTAGAGAGCTGCTAGCTGGCCCTGCTGCTGGGAAGGGCATGGTGGCAGGGAGCTGAGTTGGGACCCCAGGGCAGCACCGAGAAGCCTGGAGGGAGTGAAAAGAGCTGATGGTGACAAAGCCTTTCTTTATCCCTCCTTTTGGCAGGTGCTTCCCTTTCTCCGGGGACCCCTACCATTCCTCTCACTCAGTTACAGCCGCACTCCCTGGCTCTTTCCAGCCAGCAGGGCCAGGTGGTCACGGGTACGGCTGGACCGCTGCAGCAGGCACAACAGACAGTCTTCCGCTTCCCTGCCAGAGCTGGAGGGCAGATCGTGTCGCTGACAGGTCAGCACTCGCTTCTCCTCCGCTTGCTTGACTTGGGGGGATGGAGGCATCTGTGGGGTCCTGGTCCTGGCCAGAGAACTGACCCCCAACTGAGGTGGGAGCTCAGGAGGCAGAGAGCACAGGGCACCCTGTCTTGTGGCTGCAGGGGAGAGATGGGAAGGTAGGGTAGAGAGTGCTTGGCATAGGCAGGAGCAGCATCTTGGGGGATACAGACCCAGGGAAGCAGTGGGTTGGCAGTCCCCTGCCTGAGGGTTTGCATTCTGACTAGCAAATGCAGAGAAGAGGTCCCTGGTACAGGTGTGCTGAGACTCAACTGTACTGCTAGGAGGACTGATGGCAGGAGCCTGCAGGGTCTCAGATGCCCAGTGGGTGTGTTTTGAGTGCTGGCATTTGGCTCTGAGCAGCTGCTTTTGTATTTGGATCCTCAGTCAGTCACTGAGCCACAGTGCAGAGAACAGATTCTGAGAGACCTGGAGCAGAGGAGGGAGCAGTGCTGGTGTGCTGCCTTGTGTGTGTTGTCCTTGGTAGGGATTTATTGTGCTGAGTCAAGGCTCCCAGGTGTTGCACTGGGGCTGCGTGTGCTTCTGGCTGGAGGTTCAGCCTTAGGGGCTAAGCTCCCCTTTGTGGAAACAGCCATCATCTGAGGACTGGTACTGAGACCATGTTTCTTGTGTGCTGCCTGTTTGTGCCCAAGCCAATGAGTCTTACAGCTTGCATGCTTTCTTGGAGCAATTATGGCTTCTGTGAGCCCCGGCAGACAGCATGATCCTATGCAAAGGGACTGGATTTCCCTTGTGATCTGCAGGAGCTAAGAGAGTAACGGATATACGTGTCTGTGGTGTGGTGCATGGCGAAATTCGCCATCTGAGTGAGGTGATTAGTGGTTCCTGCTCTCTGGCATCCCTTGATCTTCCTTCTGGCGACAGGACCTGAGCCTGAAGGGAGCTTTCTGTGCCAAGCTGTCTCTGAGGGCTGGGCTAGAGGCTGTGTGGCCATGCCCCGTGTACAAAATGTACATCTAGGATGTATGCCTTGTGGCCCAGTGGTCTCTAATCCCGGTGCAGGGGAGTGTGGTGTTCTTTAGGATCACCAGATGGGTGAGATAGCTGTTTCCCAAGTGCCCTGTGGAGGATGGAGCCGAGCTCCAGAGTGTGAGGGCAGCGGGCTTCAGCTGGCCTGGGCATTTGGACTCTAGCAGTTCTAGTTGGTGCAGTGAGATGATCCTTGCACGGGCAGTGCTGGCGGCATGTGCTGGGCCCTTTCCTCCCAGCACCTTCTGTGCTGTGTCTTGATGGAGCCAGGAATGGTGAAGGGGCCCCCAGACACACTTGAACCATGTTTAGGAGCTGGAGAAGAGCTTCTGCAGCCTTTTCTTTTCTCTAGAAACTCAGCTAACCCTTCCTTGGCCCCTGTGTGCCAGGAAAGAGCAGCTTTTGGCCCGCTGTTTGGGACAGGGCCTGGTTTCTGCCACGTGCTGCTTTTGGCCAGCCTTCCACAGCACAGTGCAGAGCCGCGCTGCGGAGCAGTTTGCAGCTAAAGAAAGACTGGGGGGCTTTTTCACGTGGCCCAGAGTGCCTTTATCGCTGTTGAGCATAGGCTCACGGGCTCCTCTCTCTCCCAAGGTGGTACCATGGCTCAGCAGGTCCCAGTCCAGGCGATCCAGGTGCACCAGGCACCGCAGCAAACGTCTCCCTCTAGTGACAGCAGCACTGACCTTACCCAGACCTCTTCCAGCGGAACAGGTAATTGAGGCATGATGGTAAACCATGTTTTGTCTTCCTAATCGCTGCTGCTAGCAACTCACACCAGCAGGCCTCATGCCTGCTCCCTGCCCAGGATCCTTCTTCAGACCAACTCTACCCCAGCTTTTCTGACAGTTTCCCAAGTGTATGTTATCTTGTTGGCAGCCCCTGTGCTATGCTGTATCTAGGTAGATGTTGCTGTGCATAGGGCACCTTACAGCGGATTTCAGAGCCTTTCCAGCCACATCATCTGCTCTTTGCTTGCAGCATGGAGCCGTGAACAGGTTGCCCAGTTCTCACATGGTTCCTCAGTGAGCCAGCATTGCCCTTAGCACAAAGCATTGGCTCACATCTACTTGAGATTTTGACAGTATGTGCAGAGGACACCTCTCTTGTCAGCAAAATCTTAGTTTGGGTGCCTGGATGCAGGCTGAATGCAGTTCAACATTTTTATTAAAGCTTGTATCTCAAATTGAATTTCATCCTTGGATATATGGCTAGCATACCTTTCTGCCCCCTCATACTTACAAGTTACCCCATACATACAAAGAGTAACTTGGGAGAACAAGATGGGCATCTCCATGCCCCTGCTGCCTCAGCGTGCCAAGGGCACGTGGTGGAGGGAGGGGTGCTGGGCAGGTGTGTGAGCCCAGCAGACTCCTTTCGTGTGTGACTCACTGTCATCTCTCCTGGTACCAGTGACCCTCCCAGCAACCATCATGACGTCGTCTGTGCCAACCACTGTGGGTGGCCACATGATGTACCCCAGCCCGCACGCGGTGATGTACGCGCCCACATCTGGCCTTGCGGACGGCGGCCTTGCAGTCCTCAACGCGTTCTCACAGGCACCCTCAGCGATGCAGGTGTCCCACGGCCAGGTCCAGGATCAGGGTAAGACAGCTCTCTGGGTCAGTGTTCCCCTACGTGCTCTGACACCCTTGTTTTTCTCTCACATGTATTTATGCTGTATATTCACATTAAAAAAGCTGCTTCTGAGCAGTCCTAGTGGCTGCAGAAAAGCCTGGCAGGGGTGATGCTTGATGTGTGCTTTTAGATCTCGCTATTCTCCTATGCAAAAGATTGCTGGGGAAAAAGGGTGACGGTTGCTGGGGTGGGTGGCATATGGGGCAGGCCAGTGGAAGAGTTAGGAGAGACTGGCAACAATGTGTAGTTGCATGAGGGGAAAAAGCAGTGTGAAAAACCATGCAGGCAAGACTTGGATTGAGGGCTAATGCCTGCTTCTCCCACCATTTTGAAAACTAGCACATGTGGCTTTCATCTGAGATGCTGCCATGCATGCAGACACACTCCTTCATCCTTGTGAAACTCCATGGAGCTCAGAGGAAGGACCCATGGGGGAGCAGTGTTTAAGGGATGGTGTCATTTGTGCTCTCTCTCTGGCAGGTGGCGTCCCCCAAGTGTTCCTGACAGCCCCATCAGGCACCGTTCAGATCCCAGTCTCAGCTGTCCAGCTTCACCAGGTAGGAGCAGAGTGGTACTCACAGGTGTTAAGGGGATATCTTTGTTCTGTCCCTGCCTGCACATCCTTTGTGGGTCTGGGCAGACCCGGGTCCTCGGGTGTGGGAAAGCTGTCAGTGCCGCCTACCTGTGGGTGAGGAAGTCTTGCTCTCCTTGGCCAGGTGCCCAAAAAGGACAGTGCCACCCTGGCTGCTGGCACACACGGTCTCAGGGCACGCTGTCCCCCAGTGCTTCCTCCTCCCTTTTCTCTCTAGATGGCGGTCATTGGGCAGCAGAGCAGCAGTGGCAGCAGCCTGACGGAGCTGCAGGTAGTAAACTTGGACACCTCACATGGCGTCAAGAGTGAGTGACTGAGAGGCCTCTGCTGCCGGCCTTGTGCTATCCCCTGGCTTGCCATGCCAGTGCTGGGGCTGGTGGCAATTCTTTCTCGTACAGACTGCACCAGTTATTTATTGTTGCCTTTTCACGTTTCCTTCATCCACACGTGCACACACACACAAACACACACACATGCACCCACACACACACACATAGGGCACGCGTGTGGGGCTGCAGGACCCACCTGGGGTGGAGCTATGCTGGGGCCATGCAGGGCTTGGGGGCATTAGGGTGCTGTGATAGCTGTGCTTGTCTCACGCCAGCCAAAGAAACTTGAGGGGAGGATTGCTCTGTGCTGCATATAAATACTGCGGGGCATTCCCAGCTGGAGGCTTTGGCTCCTTCTGGGCACTCCTAAGACACCTTGCCCATGAGCGTTTGCTCTGCATGGGGCTCAGATCAAACCCAGAGCTGTCCTGCAGGTGCAGTTTGGAACAGAGTGGGGCAAGGCTGTGCTGCTGGCCTCAGCAATGTGCCTTTGTGGGGGTGATGGGTCCTGGCTGCAGCAACTTGCCCTGGGCTCTGGATAGGGGAGAGTGGCCAGCTTGCATGTGCATCTCTGGTTGGGTCTGCAGCACATGGCCCCATCCTCCTCGTATGCACTACGGTGAGCCCTCTGCCCTCAGTGCCTCCTCGCTGGGCTGCCTGGCAGACTTGCAGCCTGACTGGCTCTGCCCAGTGGCTGCCCTTGCACAGCTGAGGTGGTCAGTGGACACCCAGGAGCACCGTGATGCCCGAGAGAGCTCCTGGGGGGCTCTGCGGCCAGCCCAGTCCCACACTCTCCTCTCAGCCCTCACACTGCTTGCGGACTCCGTACACCCAGGGAAATGTGGTCAGGTCTTTCCCACATCCTCCTGGAGCTCCAGCCAGCGCTTTCTAAGTTCATCTGATGCAAGGTGGAGAAACAACTCAAGTGTCAAAGGGAAGAGCCCATGGGGCACTGAGCTGCTGGGCACGTGGCAGGCTCTTGCTCTGAACACCAGGGTGGCCTGCAGACCATCCTGGGCTGCGGAGGGATGGCTGCCATGCCTGTGTGGGCTCAGCAAAGCTGGGGGAGAAGGGCTGGAGCATGCATGGTCCTGCATGGGAGTTGCTGTGAATGGCTCTGCTACCTAGCCCTGTCCCTGGAGGGAAAGTGAGCAAGTGAGAGAAGCTGCTGAACCCTTAAGGGGAAGAAGCAGCTACTGTAACTTTTTTTTTTTTTTTTTTTTTTTTAAGTTAAAGACAAAAGAAGCCTTGGAGAAAAAAAAAAAGAAAAGAAAAAAAAAAAAAGAAAATTACTTTATTTTTCTAAGTGTTAAACTCAGTATTTATGTAATTCTTTGAGGAATAAAAGTTTGGCTCCTGTACAGTTTTCATGGGGTTTGTACCAGGGGGATGGGAGAGGGGTGGGGGGGCATGGAGGCAGGAAAGGGGCCTTGCTTTTGAGTTTGTATTGTAACCTTGGACATGTTCCCTCAGCATTAGCGTTTAAGCTGCGCTCTTCACCCACCAGCATGTGCCAGGGATCAAGCTTCACCCAGTGGGATGCTTGTTTCCCACTTAGCTGTACTGAGGACTCCATACCCATCATTTTGGGCTTAATGGGCAGAAGGCAAGTTGAAGAAGTGGCTGGCCTCGAAGTGGGAAACCCATCCCTTGGGAGCAGGGGGCTTGCAGTGTGCCCAGCAGCTGGAGATGGGCTGGGTTTTCTTATGGCTGTCCTGTTCGCCTCTAGCTGTGGGACCTGCAGCTGCTCTGACATAGCTCTTGGTGTGGAGCAGTGCTACCTGTGACTGCCTAAGGGATATGGGCATCCCCACTCCTCCCTAGGAGGTGAGTGGCCAGCAGTAGCTGATCACTGCTCTCCCCGCTCACTGTGCAGGTAGCAACTCCTAGCTGACGATCTGGGCTGTAGTTCTTCCTATATAGCTGTTCCTTAGTGCACAGATGTAGACAGGTCCCACCCAAGCCCTCTCTGCAAAGAGCCCTTGGTCTGTTATGCAGCGTGGAAAGGGCTCGTGGGGAGTGGGGTGGCCCCTCCGGTGAGAGTTACATTTTGTGCTGCCTCCCCTTGGTATCCTTGCTCTAAGAGTGATGTATACCCTGCAGCTTGGAGCATGTGAGAACGCTGTGCCATACCCCATTGCTAGGTCTGTGAAAGCTGCTCAGTGATGCTTCCAAAACAAGGCTGGGTAGCTAGGTAGCATCCAGGGAGGAGGATGGGGTTGGGGTTCGCATTATCCTTTGCCCCAGCACATCGCTGTGGCCTGGCTTTACTCTGCTTTGCTTGTGCTAGCGCTGCGGAGCAGAGCGGTTGGGCTGGGTTGGCAGGAGTGCCCCTGCTGCTCCAGGGTGTCTGGCTGCATCCCCTCCCTGGTTCCCCAAAGGCAACTGCTGGTTAAACGCTAATGGTGTATTTTATTTAAGTACCGACTTGTAAGAACACTTGTGTATCAGGGATGAAATGGCATTTATTGTGTGGTGACATTTTAGTTCATTTTACTGGTTTGAGGGTTGTGTGTGTGTGCGTGTGTGTGTGTGCGCGTGTGTACGCATAAGTGTGTGTGGGATTTTTTTTTTCCCCTCCAGTTTCCAGGGTTGTGTTTCTGGAAGGATGTGGAAGTAATCACAGTACTATGTACAGAGCTTTCTTTTGTATTAAAAACAAAAAAAATACTCTTTCAATAAATGTTATCATTTTGTGCACAGATTTGGGATCTTGGCCATGCTTTTGAGGGAGGACAACATGCACCTAAGGGCCAGTGAATGGGAATCAGAGGCAGATTCCTGCACCTGCTTGTGGACTGTGGAGGGTGGGAGGCTTTCTGGGCATGGTGTAATAAAGAGGGGTTCTTTGCAATAGCCTGTATCCCTACTACCTCCTGCACAGGTGAGACCTGACCAGTTGAACATCAGTTCTGGGAGTCCCAGGACTGGTGGTGGGCAGCAGGCCTGTGAGTGCTGTCCTTTCCGAAAGCTCAGGAACAGTGCTGGTGAGCAGAGCATGGTGTGGAGCCAAGAGGAGTAAGAAACAGGAATGAGGAGAAGGGGGACTTCTGAAAAAGAGTTACTCTAATTCATGGGTCTGCACAGGGAGGAGCAGGAGGCACTCAAGAAAGAGGTAAACCAGGAAGGAGAAAGAGCCTGTGTCACTTAAGGAGTAGTTAGGCAATAACTAAAGCCTAAGAAGAGGAACTTTTACTGTTGTAACGTCAAAGAAAGCATGATCCCTAGACCTGGTCTCAGGTGGATTATATGTTTATATATTGATAAACTGATGCAAACCAAAGGAGGATGAAGATACTTTTTTCTAGTGACAGAGGTATTTCCAAGATAGATAAAAGTTTCCTATGAAGATGCTGCTGTTAAGGTAATGTTTACCTGATGGGACTCAACAGGTAAGTGATGCTGGCCAAGGCCCTGTCATCATGGGAGATGTCATGCAGCTGGCATCCTAGCACATCCAGACAACAGTGGTTGGTGTGAGCAGTACCATCCCCAGGCCTCTGGACAAGGAGGAAGAACAAACTGGGGTTTAAACCAGTTGAAAGGCTGCAGGCAGAACAGCATCCTCTGGCACTGACAGGCATCTGATCCGAGTCTTAAATGAAAATGACGTTGTTTCCCCTCCTGTTTTCCAAGTCCATTACTGATAGACACCTGATATATTGAAGGATGGAGCTTAAGTGTTGAGGGCCAACACCAATTCCTTGCAGAAAACCACTTTGGGAAGGTATGGCAGTATCTTTGAATGCAAATTCCAAACTGGAGGGACATCACTTAAAGTTAGGTCAAAGGTGGATGCCTGTAGGCCCCTATAGGCCAGGTCAGGGGCACATCAGGGCTCAGTAAAGTGCCTAGAAGTGGGAAAGAAACCAAAGGGAGGCAGTCATCAGTGCTGCTGGGTCAACAGTGTGCCAGGTGCAAATAAAACTACTAGCATCCAGTCCTGGAGCTGATAACCAGTATAAGGGAAGGAAAAAAGTCCACGTGGTGCACTATTCCTGACACCATAATTTGGAGGAAATACCTCTCAGTGTAGCAGGAGAGCAGAAGATTGTACAGAAGGTGCTTAGGAGCAAAACACAGCAGAAATGGTTCCTTTCTCAAGAGAGATGCTTCACCCTTATGCATTACACCACAACCCTCTGTTCAGCTTCCTTGCTCAGGTATGTCTCATGGTTCAGCACCACAAAACCCGTATCAGCACAAGTAACCTCATGTTACTTGTGCACAGGGGCTGGTGCATGACTTGCAGAACTCCAAACAGGGAGCAAGATGCCACAGACATACTCTTTATTATTAGGATAAATGACTGCATGGTATCAAGGCCATCAGAGCCAAGACATAAGCAGGGCATATGAATACCACACAAAACCTCTCAGCATCACAAGATGCCTGTGTCCTATCTGGCCGCTGACATTTATTGTTGGTGACAATTTTGGCTATGGGATGTTGCCAGCTGATGGTACCAGGAAGGCTGCGTGTCCTGCTGCGGAGCATTATCACCACCTTGTGTTTGTGACATTAAACACAGCAGTGCTGCATGTGCTGTACATGCACAAAGTAACAGCTGCCGAGAACAGAGGGAAATAGCAGTGGCTGTGTGCGCGGTATCAACTTTTATGTAGTTGTGTGGTATTTATGAAGCTATTTCCCTTTTCATTAGTGCAAATAGACTGTGTTTATCTCCACAGAGACGGACTGGTAAAGGCAGAGCATGATATAAGTAGATGCCAGTTAGATCCTCTGAATTTGGACAATGCCTTGGAGGTTAATGGGAAAGGAAAAAGACATGTTGATGGGAAGCACAGTTTTCAAATGCATCCACGGGATTCTGGGAGAAGAGCATCACTAACATCAACAGAGGTTACATGTACTAATGGAGAAATCATTAGTGGCTTGAAAACACGAACAAACTCCACTGTGGATGCCACGACTTTAGGGGATGGTCCCTTGAGGCTGAGGCACCTTTTTGCCTTCTTTTCACCTACCCGACCACAGCCCTTCACAAAGGACCAGAGAAATCACCCCTCAGCTCCACAACTCTTTATTTTTTAACTCATCTCCGGAAAACACTCTGATTTTTCGCATCTCCCCCTCACCCCGCCCTCAGGCAACAGAGCAGGGCTGCAACGAGCCCCGGGCCGCCCCCGAGGGAGGCGCACCCCAGCGACACGCTCAGGCCCGCGGCAGCAGAGCGCAGGCGCGGAGCCCGCAGCTCTCGTCCGCGGCGGGGACCCGGAAGCTTGGAGCGGTCGCTGGCTGCCGGTGGGCGCGGGCCGCGGTGGTTCTTCTGGCGCCCCGCCTCTGAGGCGGCGGGGGCTGGGGTTGCTTCACGTCGCCCTTGGCGGAGGCCGCGTCGCCGCCACGGACTGTTACCGGTGCGGGAGGAGAACCGGAACTCTTCCCCCCCGATCCGCCTCCCCGTGCGCCGGAGCCGATCCCCGTTGTCCCGCTGGGGTGGGTACGGTGGGGTAGCGGTGAGGGAGGAGGCCGGGAGGTGGTGCCGGGGTTGTGGAGGTGAGCGGAACGGGTCTGACGGGTCTCTCCCGCGGCGGCCATTGCTGAGGCAAACCGTTCTAGGGCAAGCGGCCGTGCAGCCCCGGGGGGCGGTGGGATGCTCCTCTGAACCGGGTGCCCTGGTGCTTTACGGACCTCACATCGTGGCTGGCACGTTCATTTGCCGCGACTCTGAAACTTACTTACTCTAGTAAGTTTCATGTGCTGAAGCAGGCTAACAACTTCGCTGTGGGCTGTCATAGGCGGTAGCGTGCCTCATTCATCATACGCATTGCAGCTCCTTCTTCAGGTGCCCTTAACCCAGATCCTTCCCTACCTGGTTGCAAGTCTGTTTGGACCCCTTCAGGCAGCTTTTCTCTAGAGTGTTTTTCATGCTCAATGTCATGATGTGGGGACAGGGTGAAGTTATCAAACAAACTGATGCTTTGTACAGACTTGTGTTTTACTATGATTTTTTTTGTTGTGTGTGAACATCTTGGAGTAGGGTTTTTTGTACACTGCATAAGTACAATATTTTCTGGCTTATGGTGTGGCATCTAAATACTTAAAAAGCATAAGACAGTAACTTGGTCCTTTTATTACAGAGAGACTGCCAGACAGTTCCTAGCTGGCTTGCTGCAGGCTCCAAGGAAGGCTTAATTGAAGGCAGGTATGAATATCTTGGGAGTTCAGGCTTCTCTCTGTACCTGGGAACATTTTAAATCTACCTGTCATCATCCTGAAGGTGTGTTCTTGGGTTGTACATGGATTGATTTATTTCCTATGTATGTTAACTCCTCTTCTAAGAATGGCTTGTGTTACCATCAGCCGGACAGTATGTTGCTTCACTGCTTCTCTTGCTAGTATGTGTAAATGACAAAAGGGCCTGTTCATGGGCTTCCACTACCAGCTGCCTGAGCATCTCTAAGCATCTTCTTGTCAGACTCTGATCTGGCATCCCTTGTAGCAGTGAAGTCAGTCCATTGTGTGTGGTATTGTCTGCAATCTTGATTGCTGGCATTCAGTCTTTGACTGCAAATTATTTCATCCTCCTCTTTGCACAGATGAAAGCAGAGAAGTGTAATGGCTTCCTCTTTGTAGTCCTGAGGTACACAGAACAACCTGACAGCAGAGAGTAAGATTCTTTAATTTTGTTGAATTTGCCCATTGTAAATGCAAAGAATATCCAAACGGAGGCCAAAGAGGAAATACCGAGTGGCTTCTAGATAGTGACCTCATTTGTTTTATATGAACTTGATCTGAGAAATTGCTGGTTGTATTTTTTAGTGCCTTGTGGTTCAAGCTCCACAGTGAGCGAGCCTTGAGCTCTAGGTGAACCTGCAGTCTAAACAGATATAAATGGTAAATAACAAGAGGGAAGACAGAAGTGCAAAAGTAGCAGCTTGTGCACAGTCATGTGGACAGTGGCAGAGATGAGAACAGGTCTCCGTTATTTGCTGTCTTACGAGGATCTAAATGGGTCCATTTTGCTGTGAGTTTTTTGAGGAGAACTTCTTTCTGTGTCTAGCACTAACTCTGGGAACAGGGTTTTTATATGAAGCGCTGGCTTATTTTCTTGGAGGGGGGATGTGAGCTTCTGCAAAATGGGGTCTTCTTCAGGGTTTTATTCTGCGTGCAGGATTTTGGGATCAAAAGCTGTGCCTCAGCCACTTCTACAAGCAAGTGAGGCACTTGCTCACGCTTTCTTTGGCATGCAGCTCAGAAATAAAAGCTTGCGTCTGCTCCCCCTCTGCCTCTGCAGGCACACTTCCCATCATGGTGAATGAGAGGCGTAATGGCAACCTGCTGGTGCCCCTGGGACCCAAACTGCAGGCCTACCCAGAGGAGCTGCTGCGGCAGCGGCGAGGCCACGATGGGCAGCCCGAGTACCTGATCCAGTGGAGGATCGTCAGCCTGGAGGAGAGAGCAGCGGGCGGCAGCAGCACCTCCTCTGCGGAGACGAAGCTGGAGAACGTCTCCATGTGGATGTCTGCAGAAGAGGTCTGTGCCAGCTGCCTGGCGCTGCTGGACCAGAGGAAGCTGGAAGGGCAGCGTGTGACAGGGGAGAAGGCAGCCAGCCCCTCCGCTGCAGATGTCCCGGGGGATGAAGCCTCGCTGCTGGAGATGAAGGCTGATGTCAGGAGCCTGGTGCAGCGAGCTGGCCGGCAGATGGCCGAGTCCCAGGCCCCCGCGTCCTCCATCCTCA